ATCGTGGGTTGGGATCTGTTTCCTGTGAGGTACGAACTGAATTCTTATATATTATTCTTATACACTGCCGGTCACGGTAGCCGAGCGCTCTAAGGCATGTACTGTCTTCGCTCGCTCGGAAGCCGGGATCGCGGGGTTCGAATCCCACTCAGGGCGTTTTTCTGTGTTTGTCTACAGGTAGAGGCCTTGCGACGAGCTGATCACCCGCCAAAGGAGTCCTACCGAATGTGTAAGATCTAGAAAAACCGAAGTGAACGGAGAAGTTCATGGAGGTAGGCCTAGGCCCACTGGGGCTGTAGTGCCAAGGAAAAAAAAAGGGAGGGGGAACCAACAGAGTAGTTGTCTCCCTCTCATTGGAGAACGGAAACAGATGCAGTTTCCGGAATGTTGTGTTTCTTAGTTTTTAGAATATGGAACGACGGACAAAGACCGAAAGCCCAGTAATTCTGAAACAATCGTTGGAACTATGCTACAAGCTGGAAGGTTGCGGGTTCAAGTCCCGAAGAGGTCATCAATTTTTTTCAATTGACCTAATCCTTCCAGCCGCACTATGGTTCTGGGGCCAACTCAGCCTCTAACAGAAATGAGTATCAGGAATTTTCTTGGGAGTAAAGATCTTCCGGCGCGTAAGGCTGACAACCTTGCTGCCATCTGTGAGCCGATTGTCTAGATAATGAGGGAACCTCGACGTCTCACAACCCTATGGGCCTCCACGGCCATTTACAGGGATACCTTTACTTTTAATTTATAGGCGAAAGCGAACAAAATTAATAAGTCAGTTACTCTCCAACCATTAGCATAAAGAAAAGTGGGATATCATAAATATATTGCACAACAAGGTAAAGGTTTCGCCACACAGAGCGCTACGCTATGTTCGCTACGTACGCTACGTACGCTGTGTACACTCTGCGACGCAGCTAACATAGGGAACATAGCGTACGTAGCGAACGGAAGTCTGTGTGGCCAGTCACATTGGCAATAAAGGGAGATATTTTTCTGTTCGTATAACGAACATACCGTCCGTAGCGCTCTGTGTGGCCGAGCCTTAAGTTACTTGTCTGAGACTGTGGCCGCGCCATAGCTCAAGCTCTTAGTCGCTGGCTTCCCACCGCGACGGCCCGGGTTCGATCCCGGGTCTAGTCAAGTGAGATTTGTGGCGGATAAATTAGCGCTGGAGCAGGTTTTCTCCGAGTACTTCGGTTCCCCTGCCAATCTTCATTCCTCCAAACTCTCCATCAACATAATCACTCGGGGCAGATTACAATAGGCCAATCAGTGATCGACGTGCCGAGTGGACCCTTCTGGACTCCACCCCCCACAAAGTGAATTAAAAAAAGAATATACACAGTAACAAACCGGATGCCTTACGACTGGGCTGTTCGCCAATTCTGCTTTATATATAGGCCTACGTGTGTTTGGAGAAGCACGGTACGACATAGCAATGTTCTCTTCGTTTTTAACTGTATTTGTACAGATAAATTAGATTCTCTGCAGAGAAGAGACCTGTCACTGCTGTCGATCGAAATTGCATGTTGAATCCATGTTTCACTATTGCTTTTCGGATAGTTTTTCTTTTCATTTGTTTCGCGAGGTGTTATCGTGTTTGATGTGATCCCGGGGCCAAATGACACCCGTCCAACTGCTAGACGTATTAAAATAATCTGGCCCAGCAGGCATGCTAATATACTGGTTTAATTAAAACCGATGTTGAGTCAGCTTTTAGAGAAGGAACTTGAAAACAATTTAGATTACTATAACATTTCAGTTTGTAGGGGCTTAACTTGCATTATTAATGGTCTGCAAACACGCTACAGTGCTTTCAACCTACTGAATTTCTTCTGTCACACAATGTAAAATTGTCATTGTGTTTAATCTTTTAAAGCATGGTGGCAAATATATATACTAACTTATTAAACATTAAAACGGGTCTGGTTTTTCGTGTGATTCCCACAATAAATAGCAATTCCCTAATATTGTTAATCGATTGGTCTTCGTAATGGCTATCGGTGTTTTTCTGTAAGGTAGAAAATTAATTTAACGTATTATTTTGATGCGCTTCAGTCTTCAGCCTCGTGACGATAATTGAAGAGCTATTTAAAGAAAATAGCGACTCCCGGTTTAGAAAGCCGAAATTAACGACGGTGGGGATTCGTTGAGCTGACCACGGGACACCCTCTATCCGCCAAAGTTGGCACTAACTCCGCCGACAAGCGGCGGTCGCTCGCTCGGTCGGTAGTGTTCTCTTGCGGACTAAAACCATCAAGTTTTTTGTTTGTTTTGTTCAGTCTGCAAGGAGTTAAGCTCCACGTTATAAAGACTCATTGTCATTCAGGACAAATTTCACTTACTCTTAACCTCGGCTGCAGAACGTTCTTCGAATTTATATATTCACCATGTGTTTGCCTTGCGATATTTAGGGACACTGAATCATCAGCAGAGGTTATTTGGCGTCGGATGAGTTGTAAATTATAAGTTTGTAAAGTCAGTTAAAACAGCCGGGGCCTCATATAAAACAAAGTTCTAGCAATCTCACAAAGAGACTAAGTGTCTCACGAGGTTTAAACGAAACAGTCCCTCTTGAATGCGTTCTTAGTTGCATTATCGTGAACAATATTATAATTAGCCTACATATTTATTAGGTTCTTTAACGGCGACGTTTCACTTTATACGGTTATGTAGTTAGAATGATATGGGGAAATGACAAAGTTACCTCTGAGAGTAATTAAGTAAGCATCACACATGAAGACGTATTAGACTTCGTAGCTTTTAGTCCACAAACGAACTATACCGACAGTGAGACCCCCGCTTTTCAACGAAGTTAGTGCCAACTTTAGTGGATAGAGGGTGTCGCATGGTCAGCGCGACGGATTCCCACGGCAGTTAATCTCGATTTTCTAGACCGGATGAAGACGTATTAGTGCTCTCGGTATGGTGACTAGGCTAGGGGATGGACGGCCGAGGAACCGGGGTTCGGTTCCTAGAGAAAGCAAGAGATTTTCTCTTCTCAATAAAGTCCAGGACCCACTCTGGATTCCACAAAACATCCTATAAAATTGGAAGTACGAGCTGTGTTCCCTGGGTTAAAGCGACAGGGGCGTCTAATGACCAATCGTTTTCATCTAAAGCCGAGGTCAAAAAAGGTGGAGCTATACCTCCACTCTTCCATTAAATGAGATGGGAAGATGATAAAAATTGGCAACAGGTGAATATTTTGAAGAGGACTGTGCTACTTTTTTCCCTTGGCACTACAGCCCCAGTGGGCCTAGGCCTACCTCCATGAACTTCTCCGTTCACTTCGGGTTTTTCTAGATCTTACACATACGGTAGGACGTTTGGGCGGGTGATCAGCTCGTCGCAAGACCTCTACCTGTACACAAACACAGAAAAACGCACACACACAAACTAAACTTCCATGCCCTGAGTGGGTTTCGAACCCACGATCCCGGGTTCCAAGCGAGCGAAGACAGTACATGCCTTAGACCGTGACCGACGACTGTGCTACTACCGCTGCGAAATTAATTTATACTGTTGGTGTTTAATGTAGACAGCCTGGCGCCAAACGTCTACTGAATTGATTTTTATTTTTTTCTTTAGCGTTTATAGATCAGGCCATTGTTTCTGGTTAAATTAGAATGAATTTCTGAAATTTAATATGAATGCTTTCACGGGGGATCGGCCTATCACAAATTCTGTACCAATGCAGGAAGCACAAAGAAAGGAGAACACGCATGTAGCCTTGTATTCAAGTAGTCGAAGACAGTACGTGCCTAGAGAGCATGAAACCTGTAACAGCCTCTTCATTTTAAATATAAAACAGCACACGTAGCTTCATCAGTCTTACTGCATCACAAGAGTTGTTCGGTTGTAGTGTTTTCATACCGTCACGAATTTCAATTGACTCGAAAATAAAATTAAACTCCGAGAAAGTTTAGAAGCAACAGAGCAAACGAATGGTGAACAGCGGTGAGGTGGAGGGGACTGCAGACCAGGAGCGCAAGGTTGGACAGCTCCCTCATACCAACACTCGCTACATCAACATGCAAAGCGAGAGACGCGGCAGACGACGGAAGTGTACTTCTCTTGTTGCCTGTGACAACGAGCTGTGATACATTACAGACTGGGAGTGCTAACTATTCATCTGCAAGTGTCAAATTACATACTGAGACTTGTTCTGCAAGAATGTTTACTCAACAAAATGTATACATTTTCTACTCAGTGGATGTTTATGTTGTGCCTCTGAACGTTCTGTCATAAAGCCTAGTTCCTCTCCTTCTATTTCCTTACCGAAATATTTAATATTTTTTATTCAACATAATTATAATTTAAGAATATTTATTCTAAATATTATTAAATGTAATTTATTCATATATAGAAAATTATTTTTCATTAATCACAAAAAAGTATCGTAGGGTGATTTCAGAAACGTCGTAACATTTATTTTTTATAAAAGTAAATTTTTAGTAGCCCTATCATTACTTTTATTTATAATTTCATGCATCTATATCTTCATCCTGTGTCATCAGTTACCAAAGTAAACAAATTTTACATCCAGGTTCTCTCCTATCTGAACTGCTCCTAAGTGCGCATTTAGAAAACCTCTGCTACTATACCTGGTGCTTATTACTCTGCATGGAATTAACTTCAAACATAATTTATAATCGCTTCCTACTTTAGACGTTTCGTATTCGTTTATGAAATTCATCAACATTAAAATAAAAATAAGGATTTCATTTTTATATAAAAGTAGTTTCCTTTTATGAATCCTGATTGAACATAACAATTTCATAATTGTATATTTTACAGATTATCTTACAAATACATTCTTCACTCTATAGAAATACAATTTTGACGAATTTTGTTAAATTTAAATAAAAGTTAGAATTGCGCGTAGAATCATATAACAATTTTCACTTCCTTCATTTATAATTTCGGGGTACATATTCTGGGTTCGAGGCTACCATATAATTTCCCTAGCTCCATCCTTTATATTCACCTGAAGCAGTGATGTCCTCGAGCCACGTGCGTGCGATGTGGATGACCCTTGACCTCTTAGTGGCCAGGGAATGGAGAAAATCGCCTCGTGACTTACTGGACGAGTTAGAGGAATGGTTAGAATCCATAAAGACTTCCGCTAAAATAGATCCTCCTGCAAGAAGTGACGACAAAAGCAGAAGTACTGAGGGCACTACTCCAACTCTGGCAGGAACTGAAGATCTCCCCAAAGAAAAGAAAAAGAAGTTACGCAAAAATGTAAAGTCCACTTCGCATCGTGGGCCGTCCAGGTGAGAATGCATTTATTCTGCCATTGCACTAATTTTGTAATTCAATTGCCTTCGCCTTCCGACAATTCTGTCTATAAGGAAGTTTACAGCACTTACACAGGACATAACACATCCTGCCGCTTTAGCATGGAGTTAACGGTATATGAGATATTTTCAAAAGATTTTTTTAAAAAACACTTTCAAAAAAGGTGAAAGAAAGTTTGATTAAGAACACTACATTCATAATAATAATAAAAAAAGAATTTTGAAAAAGCCATAGCAAATTTTGTTGCTGTTAAAATGTGAGGATGCTTTTTTCTCCACACCAATCTGAACTGATGCACGTGTCTTTTCCCACCTTAATCTTCTCCTGCGCACTGATTAACCATCTGAAGCACAATGACTATTAACGCTAAAGACCCTATATTCTGCCTACAAAAAGTATTTCTGTTTTCTTGTACTATTTTACGATTAAACAACGATTATTTCTCTAGAGACTTTTAACCAGTTTGACTCTTATAACGGAAATACGATGTATTTCCTGGAGGTCAGAATTGAAAATTTCGATATCATTTAGAAAGTTTTCAGGCTACAACGTAGTAATGCACCCAGCAGCTGAAGGACTTGTTTATCTCGAATGTACATTACACATGAGCCCGTACTTAACATAGTTCCTTGTTGCGTCACTTTAACTAAAGATTTAGAGCTGTATCCAGCACGGTATCTTATTCAGTGAAGAGCCTAACGGATAGCCGAATCGGATCTCAGTATGAGAAACGCAAGGCCGCGCCATAGCCCAAGCGCTTAGTCGCTGGCTTCCCACCGCGGCGGCCCGGGTTCGATCCCGGGTGTGGTCAAGTGGGATTATTGGTTCACAAAGTGGCGCTGCGGCCACTTCTGGCCTATTGTACCAGCCCCAGATGATAGGTGTGGGTGATTGTGGAGCAATTGGTGGAATGAAGATTGGCAGGGGAAACTGAAGTACTCGGAGAAAACCTGCACAAGTGTCTTCTATCTGCTGTGATGAAGGAAGAACAAAGAATCACTGCTCATTCTCTCGAATGAACTGAACTAATTATTTCATAACTTCGGGGCGAACAGAATATAAGTCACCATTCATTGCCCAGCAATGGACTTTCGCGTCTTTTCATTGCTGCGGGGACGTGTGCTTAACGAGCCGTTAGTTAGCAACGGACTTTCTCTCTTGCTACACTATTTCGGCTTTCAGGCGACATGTCACAGTATCTTAAGTAATATATATTAGCATTATTTAGTAATACATCTTCGAATATCTCAGCGATTGTCGTTGTCTATTCGATATCTTTCCTAATTCGGATTTGGAAAATCTCGAATTAAAATTACGATCCGGACACCCTCTACCCTTTCTAATCCATTTTGATCTACATCTTCCAAATGGTCTTATAATTATTTTTTTCTGAAGAAAATTTTTGTAACAATTTTTATCTGTACCGTACGTGATTCGTGTCAAGTGCGTCCCATTCTCATTTTATATGATAGCCCTAACGCCATTCGTCGAAGAGTAGCAATTATGGTCTATAACTACAGGGACAATTTGCTTCCGCAAATTTCGAAGGAAATTAACTGAACTAAAAAATTGAAATCACAAAAATTCTCTAATGAAAAAACAAAATGGGACTGTGCAGTACATAAAACAATTTTAGATTTAGTAATGAAACAGGATTCTTAAATACCTACCACTCGGCGCTACAGCCCTGGGTGAGCCTTGGCCTCCTCTACAACCAGTCTCCACAACCAATACCTGCTGCCATAGGAATGGACCCACGCATGATGACCCGAGGCTGGCTGTTAGGTTTCTGAACAAAATTCTTTTTATAGGATGAGGTTGTAGCCCCATGTCCAACCCCCAACATGGAGGACCGGGGTATCTCTCTTAGTCTGGACCTTACCCTTTGACCTTTCCGGTATGGGTGACCATACGGGTAGTTAAACTATCCCCGACATAGAGGGCCGCGCCATAGCTCAAGCGGTTAGTCACTGGCTTCTCACCGCGGCGGCCCGGGTTCGATCCCGGGTCTGGTCAAGTAGGATCTGTGGTGGACAAATTGGCGCTGGGGTAGATTTCTCCGAGTACTTCGGTTTCCCCTGTCAATCTTCATTCCATCATCATAATCACCCGGGGCAGGCTACAGTAGGCCAATCTGTGGCCGCCGTGCCGAGTGGACCCAGTTGGATTCCACCCCCCCACTAAGCAAAATCGCCGGCATAGGATGCTTAAATACAGGATTACAAAAAGAGGAATATGAAATATGAAAGAAATGAAACCCAAACGGCGGATTTATGGCAGTGTCGCCTCAGCCACGTCACTGCAGCAGCCGGCGGCATCTAGAGACCGTCTGGACTCGATCTGTGCAAGCTGCATTGCTCCTGTCGCTGTGACTTGACGAATATGACGCGTAGTCTACAGGTAGATAATATTGTAACGTGGATGGACACAGCACTGCTAGTCAAGTCAAGTCAAAGTCAAAGTCACATTGCGACTGGCGGTTAGTCAGTTTTTCTGTCTTGGCATCGAGTTCCGGCTGGGGCTCATGACCAGATGTTTCTTTTTAGATGAAAGTTACTGTACTGTCCATGTGGGGAGCATTGCTAGGTAGCTGACCGACCGAATACACGCAAGGCAACAATGGGGGTGTGGCGTTTTCTATGGGGTCGGTTCCGTGACCGTTGCTATGCGATCCCTCGGTAAATACGTTCGAACAATATAGGCTGTTTTCTGAGTGGTCAGTGCGGAGGCTATATTGTTTGAACCTAATCCGGCCCCAAATGAACAGGACAGTAACTTTCATATAAAGAAAAAATCTGGTCATGAGCCCCAGTCGGGGCTCGACACCAAGACAGACTGACTGACCATCAGTCGCAATGTGACTCTGACTTTGATTAGATCCCTTCTCCACGAGGAGTTTATATATAATGTAATATTTCCGTTTCGTGTTTCTTGTTACGGGTCTATAACATTAGAAATTATTATGACATTTGCTCCGTAGGAATGCGAATACGTGCAATAGCCTCAACAATTAAAGTGATGCGTAAATATTACTGCAAACTTTTCGCATGCTCACTTTGCATCATTAATGAAAATTAAAAATAGCGACTATGGCTATTGTTAAGAGCGAATAACGCCAGGTCTCTTGTGCTTGAATAAACTGTATAGTGGTGAGTGATTGGATAGGGACATGCTTTACTAGATTCTCATGCTGGAGTATTTTCAATTTGTTCTGTTTCTGAGAAATAACACCAATGGTACCATGCTATACACAATGGAGACTCAGCAAGGGCAGGTAAAAGTGGGAAAGCAATCGATATATTTTCCTTTTAGCTGTTGATTGTAATTTGTAACCTTTCAATAGATCATCATTACTAAGAGACAGACCTCTTGGGTCGTTGTGACGTCACTCGAAGAGTTCCGTCTCACTAAAATTAAGAATCTGCCCTTGAGCTGGCAGAATATCCGACAAGCAGATATTGAAAGCAGTATTTGACAGTGTGTTAATACAAAGATGTCCGCTGAAGCTTAATGATAAATTAGAGTGGCATAAATTTAAGAGGTTTTGGTATTTGAATGTTTCAAATCATTCATTTTAGTAGCTCCTTACTTATCCTTCCAACTACCATTTTTCGTCCAACCAATAGTGTAAGCTATTGGTAACGTCGTTAAATAAACCATGAATAAAATACTGTGACGCACACATCCACTGCTAGGCAAAGACTCGGTAAACATATTCCCGTGAAAACCAATGCGCACAATAGGACATCCATTACTAAGCAACGGATAAGTAAATGTTCCTTCTTAACAGTAGTGGCCGTGTTTTCCGTGTGGTTACAAAAATGCTCGACAGCATAGATTAATATAGTAGAGTGAAGAGTCGAGTTTATGAATGCCAGCCTGCCGGGATCTGAACTTCGAATTGATTTGAGTTGGCATCTGCAGAATAATGGCAAGAAGGGAAGTAGGTTCTGGAAAGAAGACTTCATGTGTGATTTGAAATGACAGAGAAACTGTTATAAAACCGTTGCCAGGATACGACTAGTGAAGACTGAGTGTCCTAGTGCGTGTGTAACAGTGAACTGTAAAGTGTGTAGAACAGCGATAGCGCTGTAATTACCTGTAGTTCCGAGTTGTGTGTATAAGGTGTAAATAAATCCAATCGTCCAATTCAAAACCCGTCTTATAAGTCACTCGCAAACCCCCTCCACGTGACAATAAGAATAGAATTTATCAGAGTACTGTAAATTTATTTAATGATATTAGGAACTCAGCAATATACCCGAAGTAGGATTAGTACGTGGTAGAGTCATTAAGTTCGTGGAATGTGGTTTTATCGCATCATATTACAAGGTATTCACATACACTTACACAGATCCACATCGGCCCTCAAAATAGTTGCCGTTGGCCACTATGCAAGTCTGCCTACGTTGATATAGCTGCCGAAAACATTGCTGAAACATATTGGTGGGAAATTCCCGTACGGCGTCTCTTGTGGCATTGACGACTCCTCGGACGACTGAAAGCTACGGCCACGTAGCTTTGCTTTCAGGCGGCGAAAGAGAAAGAAATCGCATGGTGTGAGATCAGGTGAGTACGGAGGGTGTGGCAAAACGGTGACCTGTTGCCTTGCCAGTTCCTCTTGGGCAAGAACAGAGCGATAAGCAGGGGCGTTGTCGTGTAGCAACAGCCAATTCTACCTTCGCCAAGTGTTTTGCTAGGGGATTTGCCTAGTTTCTGGCAGAACATGATATTTGCCACTTGCATTTAACTGCAGTTCACAATAGAGGCAGTAGTTCTGCTTACACTGTTTGCACACAAATGCCTCTTGCTGTGACGAGAGATGAACTAACAGGACATCATATCGTGCCTCAACCTATCCGTAATAGTGCACTGCAACAACACTTTGCGGTCAGTCCACGAACTTATTGACTCTGGTAACGTAACTGACATGACAGGCTGAAGGCAGAGTTCATTCCCGAGTTGGGACAGGGAT